TGTGATTCTAGGAAGTGTTCTTGTGTGAAGTGATTCTAGGAAGTGTTCCCATGTGAAGTGATTCTTGAAAGTGTTCCCGTGTGAAGTGATTCTTGAAAGTGTTCCCATGTGAAGTGATTCTAGGAAGTGTACTGTGTGAAGTGATTCTAGGAAGTGTACTGTGTGATGTGATTCTAGTAAATGTTCCCATGTGAAGTTATTCTAGGAAGTGCTCCCATGTGATGTGATTCTAGGAAGTGTTCCCATGTGATGTGATTCTATGAAGTTTTATCATGTGATGTGATTCTATGAAGTGTTCCCATGTGAAGTGATTCTAGTAAATGTTCCCATGTGAAGTGATTCTAGGAAGTGTTCCCATGTGATGTGATTCTAGGAAGTGCTCCCATGTGAAGTGATTCTAGGAAGTGTTATGGTGTGAAGTGATTCTAGGAAGTGTTCCCGTGTGATGTGATTCTAGGAAGTGTTCCAATGTTAAGTTATTCTAGAAAGTGTTCCCATGTGCTTTATAGAGACCATTATTCAACTACAGATATTCAACTACAAACATGCAGTACATAGGCTTTGGTTTTACATAAACAGCAGCTTTACATCAGCTTCTAATAAACTCATTTCTCCAAGTATGAGTAAATTAATTAAAGGGGAGCAGAGGTGTGGCTTTTGACATTCTGTACATGAATTTGGGATCTATGAATGAATTCTGTCAATAAAAAAAACTTATATGTGCTGCGAAAGGCCCTAAATATAGGGTATAAAACGGGCTGTGAAGCAGACGACAAACGCCCGCTTTGCCTGGCGTCATTTCGCCTCTAGAGGGCCAGTCAAATGATGTCATCAGTGAACACTGATAATTCAACCCATTCATGCTAGTACGTCAATCCCATAGAAATGCTACTATGAAAGACCTTGTTAACTGACTACTTAAAAGTTGAAACATGGCGAGGTGTTGTGTTATGAATGCCATAACGATTCATGTTAAGTTTCTCGAAATCCAAAATAAAAAATCACGTTGTTGGTTGCGAGAAATCGGCGGAAAGAACTAACCTGAAAGTGAAGACACATACAGCGTTCTGGCTATAGTAAACAGTGAGTGAATAAATACTGTACGAGTTAAAACTAAATGAGAAATAAGCTAATATCACTTGAACCA